TAAGAAATCTACGAGAGAGCATCTAAGGTCAATTTCCTTAATAGAATCATGAAAAAATGTAGCTATTAAAAATAATATCGGTACACAAGGTTATATCTAACTAGTGAACATAATTTACGTACTAACATAAGGTGAGAGTAATAAAAAAATAACAGAAAACCAGATATTAGGGCAATTTTGAATGAAAACAAACTCGAACACGAGTAAGCAAACAAATCGAGTCAACAACACACCGCGTTACAATGACTGAGCGAAGGCCGGACTGAAATAGACACTGCGAAGTTTGGAGTATTCGACTTATGATATAATAGATGAGATTCCAATATAATAAATAGATTCTCTTTAGAGACAGTATTAGCTGAGTAGGTATCTATGTACAAATAGGCAAAGACAAAACCAGTTCAGTTAACCCTTTGTTCCTCAGTGTCAACTGTTTTTTTTTGTTTAGTAGATTTTGTTTTATAAACTTTGAAACAGTTTTTTTAAATAGATATATTCATAAAATTTTCTTTAAATTTCCAATTATTTTGAACAATGGGCAAACACTAGGTAATCATAATCCATATACCCAAACTCCATACTAATCCATACTAATATTATAAATGTATGAAAGTTTGTGAGGATGGATGGATATATGTTTGTTACTCTTTCACGCCAGAACGGCTGAAAGGATCTGATGAAATTTGTCACAGAGATAGATTATAGTCTGGAATAGAACACAGGTTACTTTTTGTCGCGGAAAAATGTCCGGCTCCTATGGAATAGATTCGTTTTTGTCTAGGGACGAATCCAAAGCGAAGCGAGTGTGAGTCGCTAGTAAATACTAAATACACAAATACTATGTGAATTTACTAGTGCGAATGTACACACATTATACAGTATACACATAACATAACGTACACATATAGCTAGTTCCATTTTATTCATAGGCAAAGTGGTGTTTACAAACATCTTGAGCTCAATCTCACGAATGGATACATTCAATGGATATTAATAGGACTAAACACTTACCATACATCTATCTATGCTCAAAAAAATAACGACACATGCATACCTATATAAAGTACTAGCAGTAGTAGTCCAAACTTCCTATCGCTGACAAAATTCAAATTATCACCCGCTGGGTTAATCTGAAGATAGTCTGACAGCAGCCCCACCTACCGCACCCAATTGTGTTTTCAAACCACCCAGGAACCCATTGAAATATACACACAAAATTTCTTCCAAATCGGTCCAGCCGTTTAGGAGGAGTTAGGTGACAAACAGACGTACAGAAGAATTATATATATATATATATATATATATATATTAAGATATTGGCTAAGAAATTCCTTTTGCAAATTTATTATTGCATGAAAGATCAATTATTTCACCATATGCGAAAGTTTGCTAATCAGATTATACTTTATCGTACACAAGAGCGGCAAGAGATCAACGTATTAATGTTGTTATTTATTAACGTAAATTTTATAGAGAGTTGAAGATCCGGAGTGTGCTATGCTATAGATATATTTTAACCCTCTTGATATCACGTAAAACCCATAATAATAGCATAATAAATAATCAAGCCAAGATATTAGCATGTTGTAAAATTAATCAGGACGCCATTTACATAATATTTTAAAAGCAAGCAAAAGCTGTAGTAAAGCCTAATCAATAGACAGTTAAATATAACTATTGGCGTGACCGTTTTAATTTATCCACACAAGGTCGAACTACGACCGTTTGTTCGCTTTTACCATATAAAGGCTGAGATAACACGTTTTTGCTCGATTACGTCCGCGCTCGAAATATTTCCTTTGTCATATTACGCGATGTGAACATTTTACGAATATTTTGCTTATAAGCTCACGGTGCATTGTTGCCCCCCCAACGTGCGTTCACCTTGTCGTGGTGGGGGGGCTCAGTAGTAGTAGGGAAGCTAAGAAACGCACAGGGAGGTTGCCCACTTCGGTGGGCAGTGGGAGGTGGCCCTCTTCGGGGGGCGGTGAACCTTGCGGGTTGCTCCTGGTACTTCTCTGATAGCAGAGTGGACCTTGGAGCAACCCCATGGTTGTGGTGGTCTGCTTTGGCAGACCTGCCGTCGGGGCGTCGTAGTTGAATGCGTAAGCGATCCTGCGACGCCCCATTAAGACGGGGGAAGGTTTTGTTGGGTTTTAGTGGGTAGTACTGGCTGTATTACGCCGGCGAGTCCCACACGTCGTGCGTAAATGCATTTCCCAACGTTAAAAAAAAAAAATTGTTGCAATTATAGACATAAACCATTCTAATTTTTAAACTTAAATTAAACTATCATTTACATATTTTATTAAAAAAAAAAAAACAAAAAAAGAACTTTTATAACAAGACAAAACAAACGGTTAGGTACTGTGTATTGATAATTGAGGACAGGATATTTTTTTGATTTTTATCTACGTTTAACAACTTACCTCAATTTGATACTTGATGTTATCTCTAGACAATAGTTTAAGCTGTGCTGCTTACCTGTAAATAGAAAAGAAATCATAAACAAATGTAACGTCAATAATTTCTGCAACATATAAATTGTTTACAAATAATAAAACATTTAAATCAAAATTACGCACCGTATACTATGTTTATTTGTTTTTATATTTTTAAATTTTTAGCGAGACTGTGTGCTAACTTTTAAATAATAATAATACATATATTTATACAATAATAGATACATTGGTGTTTTCATTTCTTTTAACTTAGAAATGATAAGGGCTAAGCTTTGGTACAACATTCTAATTACAAAAATATGGAAATCTATATACAATTTTTGGCGAAAATATCGAGTAACGTGCACACAGAAAAATCTACAACCCAATTGATTACCTCTTCCTTTTTAAATGCTCAAATTCGCGATATCTATTAAAAGCAATTATAAACGTTAATTCAGTAAAAACATTTAAAAAACATAGTACTAGTGTAAAAACCAATACATATTATGTTATATAATATATTGTACATTGAACATGGTCATATATCATTAGAAAAATATAATATTTATCACCGTTAAGAATCAGAGTTAATTGATCATTGAATAGGGTTATCACGTTGGTACTTGCAATAGAATATTTTTGTGAATATTATTTATTATAAATAAAAACTTTAATCAAAAAGAGAATAAATTATTAGATTATGAGTTGACATTATTTACGCACGAGTCTTCAAAATATAATAATCAATAATTAATCAACAAGACTACGACATAAATTTATACATATGTATAATAAAATGTTTTTTTTTGGAAAATTTTATTGAAATATATATTATTATCGACACAGCCCGAATCTATAGTTTTTAGAATTTTCATGTGTCTGTCTGTCTGTCTGTTACCGCATCACGGAAAAACTACTGGATGGAATTTGATTAAATTTGGTATGATGGTAGCTGGTTATACGGGTCAACATTTAGGATACCTTTTAATGCGGGAAAATATCTCATCTCTGAGAAATCTATACTAAACCTTAAAATGCAACTAGGAACGAACCCGAGCGGAGCGAGGGTGAGTTGCTAGTTTTTAATATAGCAGTTGAAGTTTCTTATCTAAGTCAATTTATCTTTTACTAAAGTCTACAACTGATATTACTTTAGTTGTATACCTGCATATATTTTTTTTTATTTTATATAACACATTTGAGTTATAACATATTCATTAAAAATAATCATTTAAAATGGCGTCAATCAAGTCATAATTGGCAAAGATTTTACTACTACATGTTCGCTCCACAATTACTGTATGTTATTTTTTTAGCAACGCAAAAGCAACATATATAGGTAGGTTATTTTGTTATAGTCAGTTAAATTCATTTTTGTCCAAAAACTATAGCAACCCTAACAAAATAATGAATTCACACTTAATTAATTTCTTACCAATAAAAGAACTGTTTTCGGTTCGTTTGTAGATAAGTGGCTGAGAATACCACGAGCTGTCTCTTAAAAAGTTTTTATTAAATTCAGCTCTATTAGGAAAAGTTTAAAGTTTAAAATTGATGGTATAAAAGTAAGTTTTTAATTGGTGACACATAAACTAAGTGGTGACGCAATAGTGGCCATAGATCAAACGATCCCATTGAAACGAAAGAATTATTTTATCTTGTAACCTAAGAGTGCTAACGTATTTTAACTATCAATACATATACGTATATTTCATCACTACATAGTAATACAAAGTCGCTTCCCGCTGTCTGTCTGTCCCTATGTATGCTTAGATCTTTAAAACTACTAGATAGAGTGATTCAAGAGGAAGATTTATATGTATTGTACATGCATATTATAGTACAGAAAAGCCGAGAAATTCAAAAATTTGTCAATCATACTAAGCGAGGGTGAGTCGCTAGTAATTAAATAAAGCAAGTTCAATCAAAAGCAAAATACTTCTAAATTTTTCGATACGAAACAAAAATATTAATCAATGAGTATTGATATTTTTACATAAAAAATAGCTACATTCATACTGTTGTGTATACTTTGACTTCTTTAGCGTTTATATTACAGTACAATCAATCAAGCTTGTCTCGTCATTTTATTCTATAGTATAAAATCTAAACGATTTAGTACAATTCCTATTATCTTTAAAGCTTCGAATTGAATTTAATTATACCCAATGTAATACCTACATCAATCATGATTATATTATATTGTTCGTTTTTTTTCTTGGATCCGTTATAACTCCTAAACAAGTATTCTTAATGGGTACATTACTAAACACGTGTTTTGTATTCGTGTGGGAAGAGGATTGTAAAAATATTTTAGAGTTGACGTGTTGTAGTGCGAGATTTAATCATCCGCATTTTTCCACCATCCCAACATCCTATTATCTAAATTAACTACCCACAACGATATTTAATAACTATTAGTAGCTTATAATATTTAATACTATTATAATTAAATAAAATTACTCTATTCTAATTATAATAATATAATCATTTACCAAATCGATTATTTCAAAGTATCTATAACATATAATAAATAAGACTCTCACATGACGTTCACAGATTCTTTACCTGTACAGAAGAGCGCGGCGAGATAGGCGACGTAGGACTCTTGGGGGACACCGGCTCCGCTCGGTGCTCGGCCAACACTCTGTGCTCGTGTTTAGAACCAACCACGGAGTTCTTAACTCTCTCCATCCTAGCTTGAATTGCTTTCCGGGAAATCACTTTAGTTTTCTCATCTTTAGTGCCACCGTCAGCTAATTTCCTCATTAAGCGAGCTGTTGCTGCGACATTGTGTTGTTGAGTATCGGAATTCGTTCGAGAGAGTCTTGTGGCCGGTCGGGTACTAGGGGCCGCCGCGCCCGTACTACTTCTTGTAGTTTCATTCCTGTTGAACGGTACTACATCGTGTTCAGTATCGGAATCGGCCGGCAAGTAGCCTCCGCCACCCACTGAGGAAACACCTGTACGTAAAAGATTTTCGTGCTCAGCGTATCTCACACGTTCGTCTACTGGTACGGTGCCATTCTGCGCCCTTTCGAGGCCACGCTCCATTTCACCGATTTGTCGTTCGAGTTTACGTAACACATCGTCTGAAGGTGGCGTTGGTCCATTATCGTCTGGCGGTTCAGTGGCTTGAAAGGATTTGAGATGTATTGGATGAGCTCTGTTCAATTCTAAACGTTTCGGAGCAATACCGGAAGACGTGACTTCATATTCAGTTCTTTGGGGGGTTCTTTCTAGCATGGCTAAGGACACCGGAGAGGGTGGCGGTGCGCCGTTAACAGCGCCAGGTGATTCAGGGGCCGGAGACACTCGTGGTCCTCGGAAACTCTTCCGCATGAAATCCTCACGAGTCAATTTCCTCTCCATTTTAGATTAAAACCATTATATTTCAAAAAAAGTATATCACTTCATTAGCGTTCGGAGAGCCCATTCGCTTATTTATCAATTTTATCACGCACGATAACACTACTCACTACATTTATCTAACAGTTCATAACTCCGATATAAATCTGAAATAATAAAAGCCAAATAGTACGATTGCAACGCAAATGTGATTGATACCTTTGAAGAATTCAAGGAATAAAAATATATAAAGAGATAAAATTAGATGAATGATTAAACGATATGAAATGCCATGTAACAAAATTGACATGCACCACCAAAAATTCTATGTCAATGACGAAATACGACACTATTGATCAAAGGCAAAATACCATAACTAAGGCAATATCAAGTAATTAAGCGTTGACGTCATAGTAGTACATTTGTCTAAAAATAACCGACGTATTGACATTGATATCTATAATAAATAAGTAGAACAAAGAACTAACTTTTAAAGTAAAAAGAACGTATTGATCGAATTGAGCCACATAATATCAGCTGGACATTATACAAAATTCGATTATACAAAAAAAGTTAAATAAAGGTAGAAAAAGAGTCTAGACTTAACCGTGACAAATGTAATATAAACAATTAGATATGCTTGCCGGAACCAAACGTCAGAGATATGAAAAAACTGTGTAACATTTTCAATCATTCTTAATACACACTGTCAATCGATATCGAATATATTTAGAACTATAGTCTTATTGAGGAAATTCAAGTCGTGGTGACTTAATGGTTACAACAATGTATGTCGGGGGTAGTTCTAAGCATAAATTTTAACTAAACTTAACTCTGATTTCAATGGTCGGTCCTATAAAAGGATAATAAAATTTATGAAAAAATCATGAAAATAATTTCACATTTGAAGAAGATATCCAGTAATGCTCCCTAATTGTACACCTCCTCCCCTTTTTGAAGGCGGACAATAAAACAAAGCTAATATATCTACATACATATTAATTATTAACATTTGTATACAAATTAATTATTAATTTATTTAACGACTCTACTTCGAAAATTAATTCAGCTAACTCATTTTTTTTAACCAATTAGCAACTTTAAAGATAGCACATACACCTAGCACATGAAGAGATATATAGGAGGGATACTAAAGTTTTATACATTAAACTTTTATCGAAATAACAAATTAGTATGGACTCAGAAACAAAACGATAATTTGTTCCGTGGTAAATTTGACCGAGGCGAGACTGCAGCCCGTATCTGTAAAGAGACAAACAATACGTTTAGTCAGGGAGATAACTGAAAACCGTTCACCATTTACCCAATAGCAGCACACAAAGCCGCCTAAACACCTGAAAAAGATACGAATACCAACACACTTGTTCAAACACACAAAAGCGACACATAATGACGACACACTTGACATTTCTTATGGGTGAACCCAAAGCCCGTTATCACGGTTAAAAAAGTTACATAATATATGATGTTTAACAAATTTTAAGTAATATTTAATCATCTCACTATTATCTAACCTAAATGAACGAGTGTTTAGAGGTCAAGTATGAAATCTTATTCATAACAGTGACCATATGGTGTGCTGATGGCATCGAGGTCGATAAAATCAATATAGTTTGACGTTTAGAAATATAACTTTATTATTTTATGTTATTAAATTATAGCCCACACGAAATAATCTATAAAAATAAATAAAATTTAAGTGTTTGTTTGTAATGTCAAAATAATACTTTCTTACTAAAAGTATATACATTTTTTTGTCTGTCTGTTTGTTCCTGCTAATCTCCGAAACGGCTGGACCGATTAAGACGGGATTTTTACTGGCAAATAGCTGATATTATAAGGAGGAACTCGCTTACTTTTATTTTAGAAAAAGAATTAGAGTTACCCTACGAGGATAAATCGCTAGCTACTAAGCTATTATTTAATATAAAAATAGTTTTTATTTTCGACTTTCTGGAGATTACAACTTGGTTTTTAAGATAAAATGCTGGCAACATACTCTCACTACACTCAGGTACGTAACTTGGTATTTTTTGTAATATTACTAACAGTTTATCTTCTATACATGAAATAATAAAATAAATAATAAAATTCTAAGTCGAATCTGTACATTAAATATTTTTTTTTAATTTTATTCAAATACTCATTATTTTATTTTTATTATCGATACACAGGTCGAATCTAGTTTTTAGAATTTTTGTCTGTCTGTCTGTCTGTAACCGCATGAAGAGAAAACCACAGGACAGATTTTGATGAAATTTAGTATGATGATAGCTGGTTATCCGGTTCAACACATAGGATACTTTTTATTGCGGTAAAATACCTCATCTCTGAGAAATCTATACTAAACGTTAAAACGTAACTAGTATAGTACATGTTACTACAGGTTATAGTCTATCCGATTATTAACTTTTATATATCCACATCCGATTGAGCATATGGGAGTAACAAATATACAAACATACCAATTATAATAGTAGTATGTGGTATAATCTACTAAAAAAGAGTTTAACATTCGTTTTGTTTATTTTTCTCACAATTTATTTGAAAACATCGCCTTAATCGCAACGTAATAATGACTTTCTCATTGAAGTAGCTAGAAAGTTTGACAACAACTCGGATGATAAGGGGTAATTAGTTCGTTTAGTTGACATAATGAATGGCAGAGATGTTAATTATATATAAAAAGTTCAACTATTTGAAACAATACGCAGAGATATTTTTTTATAATTAAAAGTTTTATAAAACACCAGATAAAATAATATAAGTAGGCACACTTGGTGATAACGTCAGTCCAATGTTATTTTAGATCTTAATGCACATATGTTATACGTAGACTAATATCGATTATTCAGATAGTATTCTATTTTAAGACCACATTTATTTTGTCTTTGGAACTTAGATATTAATAGTTTGGTACTTCTTCGCCAAATAACGGTTAGAGGCGACGCACCTATAACGCGTGCAAAACCGCGGGCATAATCTAGTAATTCATAACATCGAATACCAGTCTTTACACTATCATGATATTAGCCCTCAATAATAATAATAAACCGTTAAGCAGAATTTCGAGCTTTAAGTTTACGAGATGACGTAAGAACTATTTATTCATCAATCAAAATGCAGTAATTCAGTAAATCACGCGCATTTAGCGAATATATTTAGACGTCCGAAAATAGTAGGCATCACGTGTGAATTATAAATAACCAAGTTTCGTGGGTTTAGGGGTGTCGAAGATGTCGGTAATAAACATATAAATTTATCCAATCTATTATATTATAAGTCAGTTCGTTCAGATATTTATTTTTGAAGGAAATGTTTATTTTTCTATGAAAATTCAATTCGTCATGTCACGATTTAAATAAATAACATGCAAAGAAAATACTTATAAAAATGATTCGTAAAACCTATGAATACTGGAACGTTAGTTTCGATTTCATTACGACTCCAATTGAGTTTCGTTTACGGAAATCGTTGGTTAATATATTTTCCCTTTTAAAGGTCACAGTAATTGACCTTCACTAAGTTATGGTCACTACGGTAAAAATAAAAAAAGGTCACTAATATAAGATATATTAATTAAAGTAGATGTGGATGCTGTAGGTATGTTATTAAAAGTATGGTAAGCGAAGTGCTTGAAGACGTGTTAATAGTTAACAAGTGCATTAACACAAAGAAGACCTATAAAAATATGAAGTGATACACTTAAATAGGGTTGGTAATATATTATGTTATGACGTTATATTCTATACTAATATTATAAAAATGTAAAGTTTGTGAGTTTATGAGACTTGTGACGTTGTAGTGGGTAATCTCTGGATCTACGATTTTTTTTCGATTTAGATTTCGATGAAATTTGGTAAGAAGATATTTTGAGACCCTGGGAAGGACATAGGATACTTTTTATCCCGGAAATCATCCCTTAAGGAGGTGAAAATGGGGATAAAACTTTGTATGAGGAATCAAGCTAAGGACGAACCCGAGCGAAGCGAGGGTGAGTTGCTAATCTTTACGATAAATAATATAATTACTGAACATATAGATGATATTTACAAAGTAGTAACAACATTGCAACTACATCTTATAATCAAAAAACATCCCTTCTCTTTAACATAAATCAAAAAATCATGTACTAAAGATTACTACAGTAATCTTTTTATCTCACTTTCTTAATAATATGTTAATTAATTTATGTCTTGATAACCCTGGAGATGTACTCGTATATTCTGAACTACTGGTAACTCAAACCTCTTTAGACGACGCAACATGAGACATTTGCGGTCACAGCGACCTCTATTCAACAACTAACACACGTATGTATATTTTCTGCTGTATTTGTAAATAACTGTTATAAATTTCCGCTATGCTGGTAATGAAGACATTATTAAAGCAGTAGCCTCATAATAAATTATTAATTATCGGCTACCTTTAACACTGATTTACGTGCGGTGAGGAAATTTGATATTCTTTTCAAGGTAATTTTTAATAAAAAAGTACTTGTAATATATAGATACCTTTAATAAAATTCTAATTGAGTTGAATTTGTACATTAAATATTTTTTGGAAAATCTTAATGAAACAGTCATTATTATCGATACAGAGGCCGAATCTATAGATTTAGAATTTTTGTGCCTGTCTGTCTGTCTGGGAACGCATCATGACAAAAAACGGACTTTAAATGAAATTTGATATGATGATAGCTGGTTTTCCGGGTCAACATATAGGATACTTTTTTACGGCGGGAAAATATGTCATCTCTGAGAAATCTATACTAAACGTTAATCAGTAAATTGAAAGTAATAATAATGTACATTGTATACACAACTATTGGCACCTAAGCAGCGTTTAGCAATCCAAAATATACGTACAAGGTTTAATACCTGATCCACTTAGTTTAGACGAGGTAAACCGTGTAATTACGTCCCACGTAAATTAGCAAGTTTTAAAGGTACACTCGGAACAGCCATTTTGTGAAACGCTGCTCATTTTTTGCAGACAGCAGG